GTTTGGCTTGCCAAGGTGTACATATTTTACATTCATTTCAGTATGTTGCTAAAGGTCACCTATTCCTCCTCCTGTCTTTGGGTGAGGAGGATTTTCATAGTACACACTCTTGTTGATGGCCCTACTGCCTTGGATCCTACTCCCTCCAAAAAAATGATGGAACCATATTCGATCGTAACGAACAAGGGAAAACAACTTGATGTTTTTCAGAAACAGAACACACATCATCATTTCTCCTTGAATGCTATCAGTGTGATCATTTTTATGTCACGGTGCTAATTAGGACAAGAGGCAGATGATCAATGTGGTTGGATGGAGGATACAAACTTGGGGAGGAGGAGAGTGAGAGTGTGAGTGAGAGATTTGGTGGCTCTTGTGCTGTCCTAGATGTGCTACTGTACAGTGCTGTACTGCTGTGTGCATAGCGAGGACGGGGTTTCTGGTAGGTTTGTCAATGTGAGGACAGAGAGTTCCATCCATCCCTGAGACTGAGACCCTGACTGACCCCCGCTAGTGGTTGCCAGGTTGGAGTTGGAGACCCCAAACCCACACCCACCCACACGAGCGGCAGGTTTCTCTATACTGACCCTGAACCTGGACCCAAGAAAAACAAATCATAAACATCCTCCTGCTCTGTGACCTACGCAGCCATTTTTTTGTTGGAGTGTTGGAGCCAGAGCAAGGCTGCTAGAGCCGCCTTCTAAACTTGTAGCACTCCCCTACTCTCCGTTTGCAACTGCAGCTTGGACCCAAATGGCTCATGAGATGGCTTGTTTCTTGGGTTATTTTGATCTATACCATTACATTTTTTTGAAGTTTTGAGATCTGTCATTACAATTCATCTATTCTGAAACTTGCCTTTATAATTCTTCGTCTACATGATTCGTGCCATTTTCTACATCTCCTGGATGCCGAGGCCCACCGTTAGATGTACGGGACAAACACTATTGTGGCAGAACCTCCTAAATTATAGGGCCCATATGCACCTGTCACTGTCCAACGACCTTTGACATCCATGCATACGTTCCCGGTAACTTAAGAAGACTGTTGGGTGTCCTCAGGGAACCCCGAATCATCCACGATTTCCAAGCAGGATCACATTACAGAGTCATTACAGTATTACAACAGTTTATTCAAATAGATACACCAGAGTAAAAACAGCGGAAGTCTTACAATAACATAGTTTACAAATCATTTGTTTCAAACCATACAACTAAGTTCAAAAATAATACAAACCAAAGTAGTGGAGTGGCATTATAACATATTACAGAACACACAAATAAACTGCCCTGCCCAAGAGCCACACATCTACTTATCGTCATCGCACTGAACAACAGTCATGCAGCACGATCCAAAACAGATCTGCTCATGACCCTCACCTGCAACAAAGGTCAACGAACCCTGAGTATAAAAGTACTCAACAAGACTTAACCGAAATAAGAATTAAAAGAACGCAGGAATGCAGGCTCATGGGATTCAAGATATGGCTTTAGCAATAATCAAGGTTCTTTTGCGTAAAAGCACTTTAACAAAATTCTTTATATCAACATTTAAAACTTCATAAAGATCATATACAAAGCTGACATGATCCGCATTGAGATCATGAAACTTCATACCCAACACCTTCTCAAACCATCCTCAAGTTCTAGTTATTACACTACGATGATGAACAGTGAGTTGAGTCTCCATAACCGAGGAGCAACGACGATTCGAACCGATTAAAAACCCAGCTGTGAATTCCAGACCACACGACATATGCAGGTCCCCGACCTACATATACCAACCTACCCTCAGATCCTCTAAACAAGAACGGGTCCGCGCCACCCGAGAATACAGTACTCCACCAATCCAGCCCATTGCCACATGGGTATACGCTATTCCCGCCATCTCTCCACTCCCAGTGCGCAAGTAGCCATTCTCGTAATAGAATAGCCAAGTTAAGGCTTACCGGAGTATGTGGTTAGTACTACAAAGTCTCACCTCATACAATTCAACAACGGACAGACCTTAATCGACACAGGCGGAAAGAACCCGCTCATAAGACCTCCATGTCTTGTGGCTCACACACACCGAGTCCGCCCGGTCTAGATTTATTACTCCACATTCCCATATCACATGATAACATAAGTAACCAAAGTTCCATTTAAAACTTGTAGGTGACAGGTAATCACCCGACTTTCATCGTTCTAAGCATAGCTAAGCAAAACTAGGCATATACGAATTTAAAACTGGTAATATGGTGAATATGGAATAACAAGGTTGGTAATGTACTAATTTGGTTTTCACTTAACTCCTAATCACTTAATGCAGTAAAAAGAAGCAAAAGCGAAATCAATTTATAAAATATAAGGTAGGGTTGTATGCATCCGGGCTTGCCTTCGTTGACGGAAAAGTCTGGGTCCAGAGTCGTTCCACCGATATCAATACCAACCTCCACAGACGGATCAACCTCCTCAACTACTTGATTAACTACCACGTGTTCACCTTCGTTCACTACACGTAGTAACAATGCCATATTTAACATGATGCGGAATACGAAACATGATGCTCGATGATGGATGCAAAATTAACAACTTGAATACAACATTTCCTTCGCGGTACAGTTACAAGTTAAACCAACTAAACCATTTTCGCAACACTCACATCAATTGCCAAGGATCATCACCAACTAATGACCCAAGGACATTACTCAATCAAAAACTCAAACAAAACCTAAATCAATAAAGGTTACTATTCACTTTTATGAATTAATTACTTAATTAATAATTATGAAATAAATCAACTTGTTTCAATTGAGCTCAAAATTTTTTGCAAATGTTCATCACATGAAAACTAAGTGGCAAAACAATTTTTATAATTTTTGGATACATAAATAAGCCTAGAAAAATCCTGAAAACTCATTTATTAATTAATTGAGCAATTTTTATCACATTCAAAAAGTACTAAAAATCAACATTTCATATTTTTCCTAAATAATACACATCACAGGGAAGTCACACAAAAAATTTTAGAATTTTTGGAGCTCTAAATATATCTACACAAAAATAACAAAACCAGATACTATTCATTCAATTCTGAAAATAGGAAAAAAATCCAATTGAACGCTGTGTCACTGACATCGGGTCCCACCTGTCATCCCTAACCTCGCACGTTTGACCACGACGACGATGGCGCTGACCGACGTAAACTCGTCGACGGTGAGTCCAACAGCGACGGCCAAAGTACCAAAACGATCACCAAGACTAAGCGCATCGATTGACGTCCCCATATGTATTAATTACGGCCCTATACTAGCTCGACGTCGGCCACGGCGGACGCGGTGGCACGACAGCGCTACGCCGGCGACGTGAAACCAGTTGAGCTTAAACAAAGGATCCAGGAAGCACCAGTAGCTCAACCCGAACGCGTTGAAGCAAGGAGCGAGGTCGGAGAAGCAACGGAGAGGCGTGACGACGACCACGGTGATCACGGCGGAGCAAAGATCATCGGTGAGGCAGAACCGGTGACTGTAGTGATCGAAACGAGCAAGCAACATAGGATTAAGCACCACAGCATCGAGACGAAGCCGTAGGTACACTGATCACGGGCAACGGCTCACCGGAGGATGCTGGCCGCGGAGAAACGAAATCTCGGGTGAGGTTGCCGGCCGCGAGGAAGAAAGCGACGAACGGCGAACTCACGACGATATCAATCGACCAGAGCTAGCTGGCTGAGTGCGCAAGGAGTAGGCGAAGCTATCTAGCGCTATGCCGCGACGGTGAAGACACTACCGCGACGGTGCGAGCTCGTCGGAGATGAGCAAGGCGATAGGAAAACAGAGGTGGAGGAAACGGTAAAGACGACGGCGGCTCAGGTTATAAAGGATGGCCAGGAAGCACAAGGAAGCCACGGCGAAGCCATTTCTCTCGCCAGCGCGACGCCCAGACGACCACGCGCGCGACTAGAAGCAAGCCGAAGGATCGCCCGCAATGTAGTAAGAGCGGTGAACAGTGTTCATCGAAATTACAGAATTGCCATCCAGTTTAAAATCAAAATTACTCACAAATTTGTATAACAACTCAAAAATCTCCAAAAATAAAAGTTGTTCAAAATCAAAAGTTCTACAACTTTGCTTTTATAACCAACCCCTAATTCGGTCTACATTTTGAAATGAACTTTCGAATTCAAATAGGGGATATTTAAGGAATTTCGCCTTTTCAAATAACTTCAAATTTTACTAAACAACTTGAAAAACTCTAAAAACAAACTTTGTACAACTCAACAAGCTTTACAAATTTTCTTTAAGACTCAACCCCAGAATGTGCTTCAATTTTGAAATGGGTTTTCATTGTCGGATTTAAATATTGAAAATCAGGATTTTCGGAATTTCAAATCAATACAAAGATTTCAAACTTGATTCAAACAATACCAAGCAATACTTATAACATAAATGTAAACTTGTTTTAGTGAATACATATCAAAGTTTGCAATATGACCAATGCCTTGCAATGCATATGATGATATGTCCAGTTTTTAATACTTAAACACCCGGGGTGTAACAACTATTTTCGTATGGACGATATTAGCCTCACCTACACCCCTCTCTCTTCTCACTGACACGTAGGCCCCTTCGTCTCCTTCTCTTGCTGATGGTTCCCATCTCCCTCGCCACTGCCGCGGCCAATGATAGAAGTTGGGCTCCTGCTTTCTACCTCTCCGTCCTCTATGCTGCTAGCATCTCCAACTCCGCTGTTGCAGGGTGCTCAATCAGAGGCTGGTCGTCAGGGGAAAGTGGGTGGTTCAGCTCACGACGACGACGGGCCGTTCGAAGCGGGGAGGTGTCGTCGGCGCTGCACGTGGAGGCGTCAGCAACCAGCACGACGGAGTCCTCATCGACGGGCCATGCCCACCGCATCGCTGCCCTCCTCCTCCTCCCGCTCGTCGCTGCGTCGGAGGAAGCGCCGATGGAGGCGGCGGCCAAGGCCGCGCTGCTGGAGCGGCACGCGGCGTAGCCCGCGAGGATGGAGGAGCTGGCAGAGTCGCTCGCGAGGTCCATCCACTTGCTCGAGTCCGCGCTCGGGCCAGATCCAATGACCCGGGGATCCCCCGCCGCCGTCTGCCCCCGCGGCGGTGGCTGTCGGGGACCGGCGCTCCCCGTAGGGCGTGGCGGTCACCAAGCGCCGTCCCGTATGGTCCGAGCATTTCCACTTCACAGCGGCCACGCGGCTCGGGGAGGGCGCGTACACCGCGGCGGCGGCCACACTGCCATACGAGGACCCCGACGGGCTCACCAAGTACTTCATCGCTGGGGACTTCGGTGGCCATGTCTTCGTCTTCTCCGCCGTGGGCGACGAGCTGCTCCAGCTCGAGGCCGCCACCGCCGCCGCCCCGTATTGCACCCGCTGCGTGGTGGAGGATGGCTGGAGGTTGAAGAAGAAAATGACTTGTGGGGCCCAGATGTCAGTGAGTGGAGGAAGAGAGAAACAGCAGGGATGTTTTGGTCTATACGGAAGATGCGTACGCGTAAAATGGTCTGGCAGTGGGCCTATGCACCTAGGAGAAGTAGAAAATGACACAGATCATGTAGGACAACGAATTATAATGGCAAGTTTCAAAATAGGTGAATTGTAACGGCAGATTTTAAAACTTCGAAAATTGTAATGGTACGATCAAAATAACCCTGGTTTCTTCGGCCCTGCTCCACCGGTGGCTGCTGCTCTGTCTCCGTTCCATGAGGGACAAGAGAGCCATGGCCATGGCAGCAGCCGCAGTGGGCACGCTAGAGGCCACTGGCGGCCAGCCGAGGATGCCAAGCTCAAGGACCTCGTGGCGCAGTACGGCCCCCAGAACTTGAACCTCATCGCCAACAACCTCCACGGCAGATCAGGTAAAAGCCGTAAAGGTTTCGATCTTCATCGCGATTTTTGTCTGCTCCCATTCGTATCGTGTCCACGCACTGACGGAATAATGGAGCAGGCAAGAGCTGCCGGCTGCGGTGGTTCAACCAGCTGGACCCGCGGCTCAACCGCCGCCCGTTCTCGTCTTCGGAGGAGGAGCGGCTCCTGGCGGCGCACCGCGCCTACGGCAACAAGCAGCGGGAGCAGCAGTCCGGCGCGCCCCGACCCCGAAGACGCAAGCCCTCCTGGTCGTCGTCCTCGTCATCAGCCGTCGTCGACGTCCGCCACCAGCATGCGTCCTCTCCTATGCCGTTCCGTGCTGGCATCCACCCGGAGGCGGCCGCGGCGGCGGCCACCCGTGCCCGTGCGTACAGCGACGGCGAGTCCGACGAGTCCGTGTCCACCTCCGGCACCGACCTCTCCCTCGGCTCCGTTTGCGGCGCCGTCCCCTGCTTCCACCACCAGAGCTCGTACGACGCCGGCACGACGTGCCTGCTGCATTGCATGCTTTGCTCCGTTCCCTCGCCGGCGCGCCACAGGGCAGCGGCCTCCGACGATGGATGCGGAAAGCTCGCCCTGCCCTTCTTCGACTTCCTGGGCGTTGGCGCGACATGATCCGAGTCCCCGGCAGACGGCAGTGATGTACAGGTGGAGGGATCCCCAGTGGCCACTGGCCAGTGATCACTGATCAGGATGAGCTATGGATCGGAAGCCAAGCTCACGTTCTCGAGAAAAAAGGAGTCTTTTACCGCCGAAAGACCAGAGTACTACTAGTTACCTTTATTTATTTGATTTTATTTGAATTTTGGCATAGGATGCTGTAGCAGAGTCCTGAACTCCGCGCTGCTGCGCTAGGTCCTGAGGTGGACAAAGCCCCGTTCGCCTGTTGGAATCTGAATGAATTTGAAAAAATTTATGAGAGAAAATCAACCGTAAATAATAAATTTCAGGTTTGAACCATGCTTTTTTAACACCAGCCGAACGAGGCCAAAGGAATCATCCACCAAGTAACTGAAATTTCACTGCAACTTGCTGGACAGTGGTTTAGACCAACTTCAGTGGACCTCCTTTCTCTAAAAAGAAATTCTGCTTCCTCCATTTGAAACTATGAGTTGTTTCAATCTTGTACTAAGTCAATTTTTTTGCTTTAATAAATTTACAAAAAAATGCAAAAATATATAAGGCAACAAATAAGATTCCTTAAATATGCTATAAAATATAGTACTCTCTCCATTCCAAATTATAAGACATTTTGACTTTTCAAAATACGTAGTATTTGCTATGGACTTAGATATATATTATATCTAGATACATAGTAAAAGTAATGTATCTAGAAAAGCCAAAACATCTTATAATTTGGACCGGATGGAGTATTTGATAGTGTATTTATTTGATATTGTAGACAAATGTACTGTTTTACAAATTTGATCGAAGTTACAAATGTTTAACTTAGAATAAAGTTAAAACGACTTACAAGTTAGATAGTGGCATGACTAACATGTGACGTGGCCATGTAAAAGGTACAATACATTTTCAAACTTCAATTTTGTATTCAAGCCTTAACTACAAAACTAGATAACATACCTCATCAAATGGTAGAAATCTTAATTTTAATCCCTAGCTGATGTCAAAGGTGGTTTTCTATTTCTAAAAATAATAAAAATCGGATTCTATCTCTAAAATTTTGTAATTAATTTATTTTAAATAAAAATATGAAACTACTTTTGGTTTTCTTCTAAAAATATTATCTATCTGCCAATACTCTATGTAGAGTTATTTGAATCTTATTTGTTTTAAATAAATAATGAGCACGACCTCAAAGGGATAAAGCAATAAAAATAGAAATAAATCAGCTCCAAATAACTATATGTAGATCATAAATAGGTAGACAACATTCAAAGGTAAAATATACTTTTCAACCTCGAAGTTACATGTCTGTCTAATTTTGAACCCTGAACAATAAAACTAGGTAATGGGCACCCTCTGACTATTGAAACCAAAAAAAATGGTGATGTGGCTGGATTCAAATGTGGTTTTCTATTTTCTTAGAACAATAAGATTCTTGTTTGATATCTAAAAAGCATAGTTAATTCATTTTAGATCAAAAAAATATGAAACTAGTACTAGTTTTCTTGTAAAAATGATATTTATCTACTGATGCTTTATTTAGAGTTATTTGCGTATTATTTGTGTTAAATAAATAATGAGCATGACTATGAGCAACAAAGCAAAAGGAACAGAAATAAAATTAGTTTTGAATAACTAATATAAAGATCATAAACATGTAAACAATGTTCTTAGAAGAAAATTTGGTACTAGTTTCATATATTTAAAATGAATTATTTATGAACTTTTGGATAGTAAACCAGTTTTTTATTATTTTTATAAAATATAAAAACACCTTTCAAACTAGAAAAAAAAAAAAAATTGTCTGATTTTAATAGTTGGAAGACATCTATTACCCAATTTCATAGTTCAAGGTTAAAACCCGGACTGTCGTGAAATTTGTGTGTTTTCAAAAATGTGTTTTACCCTAAACGGGGCACAAATTCGACCCCGCTGATGTCCTTATGGTGCATGTTGACCGATTGAGCCGAGATTCTGCTTGAGCTGAGCTCAGCCTGCGCCTGCCACATTGACTGAAGCCCATGAGATGCGAGCACCACCATGCAATGCCTATTGAAACTCCTCCTGAAGCACGTATGTGGTACGGTTTGAATGAAACTCGATCTCCAATTCTTTCTTGATGGCGCCGTCCAAGAAACCACGACCGAGAACGTGCACACATCCTCGTGCCCCTCGTCATTAACTACCTGGGAATTCTCAAACTCAAAGACCGTGCCTGCACTGCAGGCTGCAGCTAGCGAATTTTTTACAATTTAGTTTTTTTTTAAATTACTCACAAATAGACCCCTGGCGAAAAGAATTCAGAAAATGAACTCTTAAGCTCGACTCCATTGATGCTGGCGCCGAGCTAACACGTCTCGGCACTAGCGTCCCTGGCGCCGAGGTCCTAGGCTCGATGGATGACATGGCAGAGAGCTCGGCGCCAATCACTCTGGCGCCGAGCTCGGCGCCATATTGATTGGCGCCGAGATCCCTGCCATTTAACCACGGCCCAACCTTCCTGCCCGAGCGTTCTTCTCTTCTTTCACCTCCCTCTTGGGTTTTTTCTCTCCTCACTTTACCCTACCTCACGAATTGGCATATTGGATCTTGAAAACCTTGATTTGATCCGTAGATCTTCGAGCCTTCTAGTTTTTTCGCATCGATTCGGTATATATTAATCGGATTTTTGAACGTAATAATCATCATCACTTAGGGTTTCATTGTATCGCTCAATATATGTATTATACAATCGTAGGATGATGCGCGTGGAAAAAGCTAGCAAACCTAGACGCATGTAGTTATGTTATGGGTTCATTGTTGTGCAACAAATGGGAAACCCTAGGTTTAGGGTTTAATGTTAACTGCTTTCGGTTCTTAGAACGAAATTGGTTGTATTGTACTTATGATTCTCATTGACATTTATTTCTGATGTTTTGATTTATGTTTGTTAAATTACATCTGTTTTGTTAGATGCAAGAAATGTTTCGGGAGGAATTTTGGTGAAAACGGGGTCGTCCTCGAGAATTATACCCCGACGCATCTAGCAAAGTTTCCCCCGTCCCTCCTGACCTCCCAGTCCCTAACTGTGACTGTGGTTTCTCGGCCCATGTTTTTCAATCGAAACATCCGGACACAGCGACACGTTGCTTCTACACATACAGTCGTTTTAATGTAAGAAATTATTTCCACTATCATTTTTCTTTATTTGTGTAAGTATGCTACTAATATTTTGTTGGAATCTCGTTGTGTAGGACCATGAGAGATGCTTTTTCTTTCAATGGATCGACGATGCAGACAAGTTTAATTCTAGGTACCTCTTTTTCGACGATTGGTTTAGAGGGAGACATCCACGTGAGCACTTCAAGCGGTGGGTTCCACCCCCTAACCCTCCGCCAATGACGGCTAAGGAGAAGCACCTAGCCGTAGTTAGACGACTCGAGAAACCTCCTCTGTGTGATTGCGGAGATCGAGCTATGATAAACCCTGAGAATACGTTGGAATTTGTGTGTCCAAACAAGCATGAAGTAAGTGCAAAGTGTATGTGTTGAAATCTTGAGCTATATGTGTTCATGTACTAATGTCTCATTATTTAGGTGTTTTCAATGGCAAAGTGACGTTTCAAGGAGTTATTGTATGATCCTAAGAACCAATGGCTGGAAGAACCGTGGAGGGTTAAGAAAAAGAAGAAAGAAAGGGTAATCTACAAAGCACCTCCTGTCATATGTGAATGTGGTGTTAAATCCAACTATGGCCTAGTCCCTTCGGAGCTTGGAATAGGCCATTATTGTGGCCATATGGTTGAGTATGATGATGTTCATTATTTTTATGGTAAACATAAAATCGTATTTTGTTTCTTTTGCTAAGACATATATGATATAATATTTCTTTTGAACAGAGCACTTGGAAATGTAGGTGGGAATGTTATGATGGTCAAGCTAAGTTCTTGGATGAACTAAAGAAGAGGCAACTAATTGCACGGAAGAGGGGATATGGACCTGACTACATCAACCTATTCGTTAAACATCATAAAGAAAAGATACGTGAGTTTGCTAGACAGCGCAGTATTTGTAACCCGATCGATGTTGGGCTTAACAAATGGGGATTGGAGAGACGGATGACGTTAGAGGAGGAGAGGGCAAGGAATGAGGCAAGGGAGGAGACAAGAGTACAGATGCAGGTCTTGAACGAGCATGTTGCTACATTATGTGTCAGTGAGTGCTTGAAAGCCTTTTTTTCGTTGCCTGATTTTAAATGTAATATAATCGCGTTGCTAACTGATTGCATTTTATATATGAAGGGATTGGTTGCAGTGAGGAACATGCCGCAGAGGTGGCTCATGCAAGGTATGAGGAGAAGAAGTTAGATGAGCATAGATTGCGAGCTGGTCGCACCATTCGATCATAGATTGTGTTGTCTGATGAGGGGGACGAGGATGAGGACGACACGGGCAGACTGAGTGAGCTCATTGCTCTAGCAGAGGCGAGCATGCAGGCGCAGGAGGCTGAGGACGACACTGGCAGACTGAGCGAGCTCATCGCTCTAGCAGAGGTGGGCATGCAGGCAAAGGAGGCTGAGGACGACACTGGCAGACTGAGCGAGCTCATCGCTCTAGCAGAGGTGGAGCTTACAGGTGGAGGAGGTTGAGGACGACATTGGCAGACTGAGTGAGCTCATCACTTTAGCAGAGACGGGCTTATAGGCGGAGGAGGATGATGACGTGTTCTTCACTCAGGCCGCAGCGGCCACAGATGAAGCGGAGGCCGCTTACTATAGGCGACAGGCAGGTCAGAGCAACGCAGGTGAGCCTAGCCACAGCAACAGGGTTGTGGTAGAGGACTAGTACTCGGATGATGAGTTGCTTACTCAGTACGTTTCAGACTGATGATTTGGAAGTGCATTTGCCCCTATGTCTACTGTCGGCACGTACTTCTAGCATTAATATGTTGTGTAATGTGGCATAGTATTGAACTTTTCATTATGTGGTTGTTTTCATTATTTATGGTCTT